TTTTCTGCTGCCTGCGCGCAGGTAGAGGGTGAGAGAAAGATCTGGACGTGTAATGTAAATTTTACCTGTGATCCTCTGAATAAACCAGCACGGTTATTTTTTATAAAATCTAAAGCAGTCTACTTCGTCTCATTGAGAGTTCCTGGTTTAAAAGAACCGGAAGAAGCTACAGAGAAATAATAGCTTATAGACTCTTTTGACCCTGTTCACTGCCACAATCATATTGACATGAATCTCAAAGAAACTGGTTCCTCTGTTGCTCTAGTATGGACAGGTACTTTGTTCTCAAAGTGTGTGCTTACAAGCCTCTTTTTGTTTTCCTGTTTCCTTGTGTCTGACACGAGCTCTGTGTTCTCTTGTCCAGATTATCTCCTACACCAAAGGTACCATAAGTGTCGGGAGCTCCCAGTTTAAGGGCCGGGTGGGGTTCAGCACTAGCATGCCCTCACAGGATGTATCACTGTACATCAACAACACGCAGGAGTCGGACTCAGGACGCTACCTCTGCCAGGTCATTATTCCTGGTAACTCTGGCCTCACTGGTGAGCTCAGTCTGGATGTGAAGGGTACGATACAGGATCTATTTAATACTAAAAACTGACATGCATACAGTTGGAGTTATGTCATATAATTTAATACACACATCTTGTATTCCTTTCCTCTCCCCTCAGTCCCTCCTTCTGTTCCTAAGTGCTCTGTATCAGGGAAGCCTGTGCTGAAAGGAAATGTGACTCTGAGCTGTACATCCAGCTCTGGAAAGCCCATTCCTCTGTACAAGTGGAGGAAAACCAGTCCCACTTCTGAGGTCTTCTTTTCACCCATGCTTAGTGAGTGGTGCCTACTCAGTGACTAACTGTTAATCTTCACAGGGGAGTAAGATCTATGGACATTCTTCTGTTGCTTTTCATGTCAGAATGATTCAATTAAAATGAAAATAATAGAAACACCAACAGGGAGGCTTTCTGTAATGATGACAGTGGTGCTGTTGTAGATGTTTTCATCCAGTCTCTTCCATTTACCTCCAAAAGGGTATGGCTAATTTTAAAAGAAAGGTTTTTTTTGGACAGAGCCAAGCTAACTGGTTCCATCTGCTTCCAGTCTTCATGCTAAGCAAAGTTAACCTACTGCTGCCTATAGCTTCAAATTGAACAGAATATGATATGAGAATGGTACTCAGCTTCTCATCTACCTCTCAGAAAGTGAATAAATGTGTGTAATATGTGTTGATTATAGTTCCAAAATACTGCATTGCCTGATAACACGTCTCCTGCTGCCTTTGTAAAAAAATATATTTGGTATATTGAAGAGCTGACATGTCAAAGAAACAGATGCATCCACAGCCTGATTTTGTGTTATTGTGTGTGCAGTTATGCCCTCGCGCATACAAATATACATAAAGTGTGTGTGCATGCTTGACTGTAGTCCTCCGTGTTCCATGTTCTTTTAGATGAGAAGACAGGCACTCTGAACCTGAACAACCTGAGCAGTAACATGTCGGGGAAGTACGCGTGCACAGCCAGCAACTCAGCCGGCTCGGAGAGCTGCCTCATCAACCTGGAGATCGTTACCTGTATGCACCTCGCAGCAACACAGTATATTCATAAAATTAGGAAATGACAGTTGTTTAGAGGCTATGATTGACGGCTTCTCTTGTGACCTCATTATTCAGATATTCCCCAAGAATAGTACAGTTTGCATGTTATGTACAATTCTGTGTTTTGGTAACACAATCACTGTGGTTTTTCTGATTCTAGCCACCAATGTGGGTATGATCGTTGGAGCCACAGTGGGTTCAGTGGCCGGCTTCATCTTTCTCCTCTTCATCTGCTTTGTTTTCCTGGTGAAGAGACGGCGAGACAGTGAGGATGACATGGCCAATGAAATCAAGTGAGTTCAAGTGACCTGAACCCAAGCAGCCTTTACATTTCACTTGGAGGTTCCCAAACAAGTGTTTGCATGGAGGCTGTCTGAGGATTTCCCACAGTCTTCTTTGGTTTATAGGAAGTGAGTAAACTACTGAAGTGTTCAGTAACCAGGAAAATGCTTTAACCTGATGCTTCTTACACCAGCTACACAAAGGAAAGTGCGCGATGATGGCAAGACGTCATGACTGTAGCTAAAACACTTAGTTCCGGTTGCAAAACATATCTGCCATGTTTGTAGCTCTGTGGTTGACTGCCATTTTTACATCCAGATAATTAACAGTCACAAACCACTCTGTCCTGTCCACCTCTAGGGAGGATGCTCAGGCTCCAAAACGTGTATCCTGGGCTAAGAGTGGCATGGGTTCAGACATCATTTCCAAGAATGGCACTCTGTCATCAGTTGCCTCCAGCCCGCATCACAAAGAGTCCTCCCACCACCACCTGCAGCAATACCCCCAGCGCCCCCCTTCAGACACCGCTTCCATCATCACCGCCATGGGCAGCACAGCTGGATACCAACCGCCCCGCCATCAAGGGGTCTCCACCCCGACTCATTACAGCTACAACGCCACCGCCCTGCCGCATGAACAGCCCATCTCCTCTGAGGCCAGTACCAATGGAAGCTCCCTACCCAGACCAGAGTGCTACACCCATCTGCCCCAGGCCCAGGCACTGCCACAGGCCTACAACCAGCCTCAGGTGCAGCTCCAAGTCGCTCCCTCCCCCCAACCACTCGTCACTTCCATTATAACTGCCTCCAACATCACCCGCATGGGAGGGGTGCCCATTATGGTGCCTGCACAGAATCAAGCTGGATCTCTGGTCTAATGCCAGCCAGCACTGGCAAAACAGTCCTGTTGACAAAAAACAGTGAAATACTGTCCCTTTACACTCTTCACAAGGGTCAGCTGCTGATGGTTTTTAAAGGGAACATCTTAACTACTATTTAGCAAAGAATCACAGTAGATGAAAAGATCAAATTCACTTATGTTTTTGCACCAAGAAGTCTTCATGCCAGGATTGTCAGGCACAGACTGATCACTTGCTTTACTTACATCTTTTATATTCTATATGAACTGTATAGATTGTATAGATATGATTTTAATACATTTATCTAGTATCATCTTTTCTATTTTGTCAATGCATTTCTAATGTTCAGATTTAGCATTTAAATGTTTCAGTTTCTTCTAAAAATCTTTTATTTTCCTTTCTGCCATACCTATTTTACAGTGTGAAAAGCCAATAAATCATCACAAACAAATGAAATAATGGTGAAATGACAAAGGTCTGCTCCTTTTTGTCCATCATCTTTACTGAACTAGCCACAGGAGGACTCATTAAGAATAAAGTAGTCTGTGGAGACTGATGTATTAATGAGCATATTTGTACAGTAGACTTATGGAACGAAAGACAAAACAATGTTATACTGGTTAAGTTTGGCATTGTGAAGTATCCTACTCCTTTTCTGGCTTAATTTCTCCCAGTGGTTGATCACAGAAAATGGTCTTAGAATTGTTTTTTCAAACATAGATTAGCAAAAGCTTCTTATGATACTCTTCAAAACTGAAGTATGATGGCTTCCTTCACTTGAGTTGTAATAATTTAAATGTGCCGACAGCACTGAAATTGTATATATGATATTTATTTTCTGTGACGTGTGTAATAGCACAGAGTATTGTTGGCTACAGCCTGTATGGAGCTTATGATACCGGTAATGTTTGCAACACTGGATACTGAAGCAAAGACCGACAGTACAGTGTGTGTTGCTTCATTATGTTGATGTGCTCTTGTTTTCTGAGGTCAGTGGGGGATGAAAATGCTTTACTCAACACATAATGATTCACAGCCATTACCTACAGCCTTTAGATTGTTTAGACAAACCTATTTACCCATTCGATTGACAGTGAAACGATGTGAGTTCCTCTATGTGTGCACTAAGGAAACAGGGACAGTAACATGACAGCTGAGATAAAGAAAAGAGACAAGGTAATCACTACAACAATCAGCAGTTTAACACCAATGTTAAGGTGCCCAGTTAGTCATTTTCTGCCATTTCCTATTATGGGGAAGGAGAAGACAACGGGGAATATACATTATTCCTTCTCGAGGCTGGAGGAGTAAACTTGCTAGTTCAAATCAATCCACTTCACAACCAGAATCAGAATCAGCTTTATTGGCCAGGTGTGTTGGACATGAGGAATTTAACTCTGGTACATCGGTTCTCAATGCGCACATACATATCCCCATGCAAGGCAAGGGGCCGAGGGGCAATTAGACAATATACCAACATAAGGCTGTGTAGTATAACTTACTATTTTTGTTGGCTTCATCTTACTTAGAAAAATAAGAACTGGATATTGGTTTAAAACTCATGTTGAAAACCACAAATGTATTTTCTATCAAAAAAGAGGAAAAAAAATGCCTGCTCCTATTTTTTCCACACATATTGATAATCAGTTTTCCTATACAAACTTAAGCACCGAAAACCAAATATTATTTTTAATTGTGAGGTTCTTAAAACCCCATTCTGGCCACTTTCAAGTCAAGCAAATGCCTGTTTAAGTCATTTAAGCATCATCGAGATTCAGAAAGAAAACAAAAACCTTGTAAATGTTGATCTACGTAGTCAGCTCTGCTGTATGGTCATTACACTGGAGCATGTGTTTATTTAGCTTTTGTAATGTACATAGGAATGGTAGCATTTGGTAAAAACAAGAACTGAAACATAGGAAAATTGATATGGACAGAAAATATAAGCTTCCTTTATAGAGCAGTTCGAAAAGTAGTCATTTGACACAAGCTTGGCAGGAGAGTGACAGCAAAACCCACAGGCAAACAGGATCGGTATCTTGAAGCTGTGATGGTTCTGTTTTGGTATGTATCATTTTTAATGTATAAGAATAAAAGGGGAAAATTCAATGTGGAAAGTTGAGGATGTTGAGGAAATCATTTTGAGGAGGAGTTACTATAGTCTGTACAGATCTAGAGTTAATAGACAGTGCAATGCACACTTGTGAAAGGGTGCATTGCAAACATTAAAATGTATTCCAGACAAGTCCCTATCTTTATGCAGTGATGTATGAGAGCACATAAGCAGAATTATAAACGTTGAACAGTTTACAAACTAAAGCCCAGATGGACTGAGCTACTGTGGACAAACTGGTGGCTACACATGCTTAAACATTAGGCCTAAACTGTGGTTGCTGATGTCCTGTGTGCACTTGTACCCTCTATATTTATGATGATGTTAAATGCTTTTTAAAATAAATTACAAATGATCATTTGTGTATGAGAATGGACTTTTTTTCTGTCCAAAATGTGCATCTTTAAAATAACTTGGCCTGTTTGTTCAGCTTACAGCTTGGAAGTGCTCTTGCTGGTTTTCAAAGCAGCTTCTTACTTTGGATCTTTTCATTTGTACCAGAAGTTCGTATAATCAGAATGTGCACTGATTAAATCTCAAATTCCAGTGCAGTCATAATGAGCTTGAGCCAGAAATTCCAGCTCACATTCCCTGTAATATTATTTCACAAGTCATTTGTGTAGTTTTATGCCGTGTTTTTTAATAGATATTACAGTCAGTGGTGATTCAGTTTTTAGTAAACTGTTTAGTTAGTTAGTGAATGTTTAGTAGCAAGTAGTTATATTCACTGTGCAAGGTTAGACTATACCTGTAAGCAACTATCTTAAGTAGCAATAACTAAACGTAGCTCTCCTGACATAAGGGAGGTGACCAAAACAATAGAAACCCCTGTCAGTATGATGCAGTACAATTCAACAACAGCACAAATCTTGCAAAATGGTTGAACAGTTGAGTCATGGCTTCTCTAAAACTGTTGACAAAATCTGAAGGGTGGATTAATTACAGCACTGCTGTATTAGACTACATACATTTTAGCTTGGTGTACCTAAAACACTGACAAGTAATGAATTCATTTTGGTTAGGTTTACTCTTGGATTACACATTCCCAGAGGTGATTTCAAAATTCAAGGTCAACCAGCAGAGGGCAGCAAAGATGGTCTGTGTGGGAAAGAGAGAGATGCAATTCTCAGGTTGAAGTGTCTGCTGTAATAGTCATTGTCAGACTGAACAGCACTCTTGGTAATAAACATTTTACAAATTACACATCTCTGAAGAAGGTTGTCAGGAAACAGACTGGACAGTCCCGCAAAAGGGTACATAACCACCTAGAAGATTGAACTTGATTTGAACATCAAAAAACTAAATACAGGTTTAGAAGTAGTTTAAGAACATGCAAAACATATTTTAACAGCGTTCAACACCAAATTCCTTCTCACTGGGTCAGACTGAGGCAACAGTCAGAGGTTTGTATATAAACTTATCTCTTATCTGTTTGATTTAATCTCCTGCTGCCACCGGCAGTTAGTCCCCATCAGCTTACAGCTGAATAAATATGTTTAATAAATTACTGTAACAAAAAGTAGGATTTCATCACTTTAACATCTGTTAAAGAAATCCAGTCTGTCAGACTAAAGAACAGAGTGGGCTGTGCTGAATGAAATAAAACAATGTTAACATACTGATTTTTCTTCCAACTCTTTCGCCAGCCAAAGTCCAGGTATGAGAATGATGGTTCTTCCATCCACTTCTTCTACCAGCAAGGTCCTGTCAGATATTTCTACTGCTCGACAAAGTTTTTTTTAAAGGTTATGGTGCTTAAGGTCTGACAAACCCAAAAAATGCCCTTTAAAAACATTTGCCACATTTCAGGCTTCAAACATAAAGATATAAAACTGTAATTTTTTGTGAAGAATCAACAACAAGTGGGACACAATCATGAAGTGGAACGAAATTTATTGGATATTTCAAACTTTTTTAACAAATAAAAAACTGAATAATTGGGCGTGCAAAATTATTCAGCCCCTTTACTTTCAGTGCAGCAAACTCTCTCCAGAAGTTCAGTGAGGATCTCTGAATGATCCAATGTTGACCTAAATGACTAATGATGATAAATAGAATCCACCTGTGTGTAATCAAGTCTCCGTATAAATGCACCTGCACTGTGATAGTCTCAGAGGTCCGTTTAAAGCGCAGAGAGCATCATGAAGAACAAGGAACACACCAGGCAGGTCCGAGATACTGTTGTGGAGAAGTTTAAAGCCGGATTTGGATACAAAAAGATTTCCCAAGCTTTAAACATCCCAAGGAGCACTGTGCAAGCGATAATATTGAAATGGAAGGAGTATCAGACCACTGCAAATCTACCAAGACCTGGCCGTCCCTCTAAACTTTCAGCTCATACAAGGAGAAGACTGATCAGAGATGCAGCCAAGAGGCCCATGATCACTCTGGATGAACTGCAGCGATCTACAGCTGAGGTGGGAGACTCTGTCCATAGGACAACAATCAGTCGTATACTGCACAAATCTGGCCTTTATGGAAGAGTGGCAAGAAGAAAGCCATTTCTTAAAGATATCCATAAAAAGTGTTGTTTAAAGTTTGCCACAAGCCACCTGGGAGACACACCAAACATGTGGAAGAAGGTGCTCTGGTCAGATGAAACCAAAATCGAACTTTTTGGCAACAATGCAAAATGTTATGTTTGGCGTAAAAGCAACACAGCTCATCACCCTGAACACACCATCCCCACTGTCAAACATGGTGGTGGCAGCATCGTGGTTTGGGCCTGCTTTTCTTCAGCAGGGACAGGGAAGATGGTTAAAATTGATGGGACGATGGATGGAGCCAAATACAGGACCATTCTGGAAGGAAACCTGATGGTGTCTGCAAAAGACCTGAGACTGGGACTGCGATTTGTCTTCCAACAAGACAATGATCCAAAACATAAAGCAAAATCTACATTGGAATGGTTCACAAATAAACATATCCAGGTGTTAGAATGGCCAAGTCAATGTCCAGACCTGAATCCAATCGAGAATCTGTGGAAAGAACTGAAAACTGCTGTTCACAAATGCTCTTCATCCAACCTCACTGAGCTCGAGCTGTTTTGCAAGGAGGCATGGGCAAAAATTTCAGTCTCTCGATGTGCAAAACTGATAGAGACATACCCCAAGCGATTTACAGCTGTAATCGCAGCAAAAGGTGGCGCTACAAAGTATTAACTTAAGGGGGCTGAATAATTTTGCACGCCCAATTTTTCAGTTTTTTATTTGTTAAAAAAGTTTGAAATATCCAATAAATTTCGTTCCACTTCATGATTGTGTCCCACTTGTTGTTGATTCTTCACAAAAAATTACAGTTTTATATCTTTATGTTTGAAGCCTGAACTGTGGCAAAAGGTCGCAAAGTTCAAGGGGGCCGAATACTTTCGCAAGGCACTGTAGTTCTTACATACATACAGGCTTCCCTGGAATGGTGAAGAAGTGCATTTACTGTCCCACTAAAGTATTTTCCTTATACATAGATCATGGCATGGCGAAGGAGATGACCTGGAAAGAGTTTCAGGATTCTGCTTTGTACAAGATGGAAAGACAGAGATGGGAGGTGGGAAACAGGGGGCAGTGAATTTCACATGTATATATCTTTTTTTGTTCATGTTAATCTTATGATTGTTAACATTTTTTTGTTTAGTATTTTATAAGACTGCTGGTTGGTGTACATAGACCCTTGTCAGAATAACAAATACTGTAAATGCATTTCAATGCATCAGTCATCCAGTTGTTTACATTTTTATATGTAAATATATTCTTTATATTGTGTCTTCCTGTTAGACCCTCTGGTGGCCCCTTCATTCCAGTAAAAGGCCAATTGTCGAGTGGGCATATTTGTAACAAGTAACTGTAATTTCAAATAAATGTGTTACAACTGAGTAATAAAAGTCAGCCCTGTTATTTAATAACTAGTGATGTGACGTTTCGTATCAAGGCTTCGAGGCGTGTGCCGAGTAGGGGAGGGGGCGTTTCCGCGATGCGCGTATCGAGGCTTGCGTCGTTTAGGGGAGGAGCTGAAAATGATGACGTCCGAAGCCTCGCTGCCCGGCTGTACCACGTGACTGATTCAGGAAGTGGTTCGGATGTGCATACTTCTTTATTTGGCATACAGTTTTATTCACAGGCTTTCTGCAACATGCCACACACTTCAAATTCATGCCAACAGATAGTGTTGCATCCAGTAGATGTCCTCCTAGAGCAAATGAAGCTTCAAGAAGCTTTGCGCTGGAGTGAACCAATTGGATGAAAGGCTTCAATGCTTCATGAAGCTTCATCTGCCCATCACTA